TGTGATTAGTCGATCGCTCCGAAACGTTAGCGTGAATGCCAACAAAGAGGATGTGCCTCCAATCTACACCTGCCTGGAGCCTTGTCCGCCCGTGCGCTTGCTGTGGTGACAGCGAAGCACGCGCTCGGGGGAAATATGTACTTACGTACAGAGAGTATCATACCTGCCTGCCTGCGAAACTTCGTGTACGGTATTGGAATAGCTAGCAGAGACACGGCCTTTCGCAGCTGATTCGGGGGGTCGGGGGGCTAGAGCACGGTCGCTGGGCAGTGGGAATGCTTGTTTCTAGAAATTCCCCTGCAGGGACAACGCTTGATGGGTACAGGCTGTTAGCGAGCCCCCGGTAGCCCCCTTTCTCCATGTGTTCTGGATGTTCTTTTTTTGCTACGTTTATTAATACCCGACACATGTATACCCACATGCGGCAGGCTTCTAGAAGCAAGTACACGTCTTCGTTTGAGACAGAGTGCCCCGCCGAAGTCGCCTTTCCGTCCATCATGGGGGGAATGATGCGGTTGTCCGAAGGATCGGAACAGGGCAATGGGTGTAAGTACTGTAACAGCTGTCCGGTAGAAGGCATTATATAGTTTGGACAGTCTTCTCTGCATGATCCAGATCTCCGATGACCATCCCGTTCTGCACGTGGCGTGATCTGTGTAGTGCCGAGGAAAGGGTTCTTAAACCTCATGGCTCCCCACGGCCTTTGCGTCATTCGCGACTTCTTCTTTTTCGAAGCCTTTTCAAACACCCCCCCCCCTCCCAAGAACCCGGAGCCTCAGGCCTTGACCGCTCACCGCGAGTTTTCACTCCGGGCTGCTTACGGTGGCCTTTGTACAAGGAAGTATGTACCCTTCGGGAAAAAAAACGCCTCACGGCCTCAGTCGCACGCACCCGGCCAGTGGCTAACTGCCCCGCAGAAAGTACCTAGATTCCGCATCAACACAACAACACCAAAGGCCGCCGCCGTCTCTGGCGCCCATCACTGAGGATAATCGCCACTGCCTTAACCGTTTTTCGGAGGCCGGGCTTTTCGATTTCGGATCCGCGATTTCGTCGTGCGCACTCGACCCTAGCCCTGTGGGTGCAGCAGGCAGCCCAGCCACCTCGAAGACGACTGAGTGCACCAGTTGCACCCACAGTGATGCAAGCCACATAGATTCAGACTCCGCTCGAACTCTCAGAAGCACTTCACTTCAAGGCATCCACGACCACGGTGTACATCTCCGGGGCTTTGGAGATTAAAAACATCTGGCTGCTGGGCGGGCACTTTGGCTTCGCACTGACGCCATCCCCGTCGGCTATCTGTCATGGCCGCCTGTAATTGGTCGATTGAGCTTGGGCGGGTCGACAGCACAGCAGAAGGGGGGGATATTGTTCCCAGGTCCGCAGGTCTGTCATGATGTCAATGCGTTGAAATGCCAATAAAAAACAAGTGCTGACGTGAAGCAGTGCAGTGTGAACATCAGGGAGAGATCGATAATAATTATTGCCCAACAAAAAATCCCCCCCGCCCCCCCATCCCCCTCCCAGAAAAGCAAACAAAGAAAAGAAATAAAGGAAAATACACCGTTGAGGAAACCAAGCTTCGCCCCGTCTAGCCACGCAACGCCATAACCCCCGGAGATCTGTGGAAGGAGAAGGAGAGAGAGATCTAATAGAATGAACGCCGCAGAACACCAATGGCCTTTGGGCCAAATCCAAAGGCCGTTTTTAATTCCAAGCATCGGGGTTATCCCACCACCCCTCTCCTCAGATCAATCGTGGTGGCAGTTATTTGCGGAGGTACTGCTCGTCGGGAGTCTCGTGACGCTCGCAGTGGTCGCAGAACTCGTGGCCGCAGTCGTGGCATTGGGTTTGTACGCTGAGGCACATGGGTGGTCCTCGGTTTCCGTCGCGGACACACACATGGCAGAACCAGATGTATTCCGGACCGCCGGGGGCGTCGAAGTTGCTGTGGGTGGCAGCCGGTCCGCCATATCCGCCGAGGGTGAAGCCCTGGGATTGATGCGAAGCGTGGTGAGAAGCCATTGTGCTATGGAATGTATGTGTGGGAAGTTTGTTTTGCGGAGTGAAGGTGGTGTCTGTTTCCACAAAAGAAGTTAGTCTGTGAAGTGGAAGCCAGAGACCGCTCGGGAAACTTACTGGAGGGTTGGATGTGTTTGGGAATGCTCGCTTGAGTTGGTATGGGGATGGTATAGAGCATGGGCTTGGGAGTCTTATATTCAAATATACTAATACACGAAGCCTCGTTCTGATGGCACCGCCTAGTCTCGACATCATCGCACCGGCGGTGGGCAAGCACGGAGGCATACGGGATAGGAGGTGGAAGCGGTTGGCCGTCTCATTGTGGTCATCGAAGGCCGTAGTACACCTGGGTGACACATTTTCCAAACTACTCCTTCTACGATTTCACTGGTGAAGCTGCTGACGGAAGGTAAGATCGCGAACTTTTTGGGGAATGCAGTTCACTCAATCGTTCCCAACGGTGGGACATGTTGTTGTTGGGGGCAACCTCCGTCCTAGGCGGACTTCGGTATAAGCTACTCGCTGGGCTGCTATGCGCCTCCAACGGAACGCTTGCGGTGATTAGCAGCTAAGTAGACCCGCGTCATCCTCAAGCACTGACGTGCGGAGTGGCTTTCTAGCGAGCAGCGACTGTTTCAACGTCCACCGATGTGCTCAATCGATCGACCTTCAGATGTGTTCATTGGGGGAAGCGTGGAGTTCTCGGAAACTTATGGTACGGTTCGTGCACAGCATCCGTTGTTACTAACATTGCCTCGGGTAGCACGCCTATCGCGTTACGGGCCTTCTTTTGGAGTAGCATAGCGGACTCACTGACCTGACCTGATCCTTTTACCTCTCTCACGTGCAAGTTCTGATAGGTTCGTTGAAGCTATTACTCCTACAGTTATTCCTGTGTGCCAAACTAACGCAGTTCGCATAGATTTGTTGAAGTAGCTCTGAGACTGGATGAGGTGGCTATCTCTTCCTCCTACTCCTCCTACCCCTCCTCCGTTTCATCATTTACAGACGTATGACCTGAGTGACCGAGCATTGATAGGATTGAACATGCCCGGATCAACTCTGAATTGCACGAAGGATTTCTGCTTGATTCGTACCGCTTCGCTGCGCAGGGCCCCACATGGACCCTGTTGGGCAGCAAGCGAACACTTTTCGGTTCCAATTGTGCAGCACTCCTGCTCACAGTAGTCACATCCATCAATGTCACCACGATCCACTGGGAAAGAGTGGTTCACCTGAGATATGCTATGAGTGAAACGTTCACGAGGAGCAGCCCGCGGATTGGAAAGGCTGTGGTCACATGTTGGGCCACGCTACGGGATACAACTTCAGTGATCAATGGTAGTGCAGCTCGTATGGTTGCAAGTGTACGCCCCAACAGAAAGCGAGTCCGATGGCAGCTGAAGGAACCAAGTTCTCTGTAGGTTCAATGTCATTTAATCTCCCAGCCTGTGCAGCCAGCTAACCATCCGCCACTCGATATAGTCTTCGGTTCGGCACCCGAAAGACTCATGGATGATTGCAGTAGGGAGTATTGCATCAGCACCACCTGGCATTGTTCACTGGCTGTTATAAATACATATCATTCGACGGGAAAGGTTGGAGACGAACCGATCCGGCAAGGATGGACAGGAATAAGCACAAAACTCAATCGCAGCCCGAAGTGCATCGGGGGGGCCGTTCATGGCTACTATAAGACCGTTAAGGCAGCATGGTATTGCGGTTGGAATTGCCAGCAATCGTCTACTGGGCGGAGTGATCTGTACGGCGGTATCTTATGGTCTCTCTACCCCCATTCCTCCAAAGTCTGAGCATCACCGCGAACGGCAGAAAATGGGTGTACTCCCTAGGACGGCAATGGGTGGCAGGCTCGCTGGGAACCTACGGCCCTGGAGGAGATGTCCTAGCAAGCGAGAATCATCATCATCGTGCCCCAGGTGGACGAGATCAAGATCTGCGGGTGAGCGGGGGGGAGGCGGCGTGATGGACCCACATGATCTGGGGTGGATCCAACCAAAAACCCCGTGGATAGATAGTATGCCCCTTCTGACAGGTTAAAGGTAGCTGGAGTCTGCTCTACCAAACATGCACGCCTTCGGCACTCCGAGGCGTATTCTCACTATTCGGCAGTGAGGGCAGATTTGACGCCGACGGGATTGTCTTTCTCACCGTTCAGGCTGTAAAAGCACATGCTAACTATGGCTTGGGCTGCATCGACCTTCACATAGATATCCGCGCGGGCAACTACGTACAGATTTTAAATTTTTTACCATGTTTCTGGCGTAAAATGGTAAGATTATACCCATAGTAATGCCAACACGTGTGGCAGGGTCAGCGATGTGTTGTCCTAAGGAGAGGGTCGAGGGTTTACCTTACGCCACCGCAGAGTGGAAACGACTCACCAGGCAGGCAGGCTAACCGACTTCGCCACAATGAGGCTAAATGTACGGTCCACGAGTGGAGAAAATACCCACGGTTTCAGAGTCCTCCTAAGGGAAATCCCGCCAGCCAAAGGCCAGAGCCTGAGGAAAAAAGAACAAGTGCCCCCCTCTGCAAACGAGAGTTGAGAAATCATGTGGGCGCACGAATTCGGAGGGGTGTTACCCCCTCCCCCCAGGCTGAAATTTTCCACTTGCGGTTAGGTTAGCCCCTGCCACATTACATGCCTTCTGCCTTCTTCCTTCTTTTCTTCCTTGATCACCTCGACCTCGTTTTCTTTGCACGAAATGAAGCTATCGTAACCAAACCAAAAAGGGCAACGAGAACCGCAACACACGGATCCGGCAATTCGAAACGGAGATATAATCTTTATTTTCGCGCCGATTTCATAAAGAAATAAAAAAGAAGACAAATTGTTTTTTTGGTCTTTTCCAACGGTCTTCGATCTTTGCAACTCGCCGCAACAGGAAAGCACAAGAAAGCAAGAAAGCCAGAAAACAAGAAAGCAAGAAAGCAAGAAAGCAAGTACTGGGCGGTCACCAATCATAAATCATAGAAAAAATATCGTTCTCGGTCATGCTGTCGTTGAATCGATCATGGTAGCCGGACGGTAACTGCAGCGATGTCACACGGCACCGGTCAGTTACAACTTCCAGGAATTGGCCATGCAATGGCAAAATATGGGGACGACGAACACGTGCTACGGTGCGGACGTACGTAGGTAGAGCTCGGGGCCTTCTACTCGCCAACATTCTTGCATACCTTGCAGACCTTGCACGGCTGGTGGTTGCCTATGTGCACCGACGGGCGTCAGTCAGATTGGTTCCTGTTCGTTATGGACTCCCACAGAGCTCGGTACATACACTCGGGGCACGACGGCTGGCGGTCGAAGTACCACGGCCCGGCGGAGTGGTTGACCATGCCGTCGGGATTATGGCAGATCCATGCTCCCTGCTGCTCGGACTGCTCGGAAGACCGTCGCTCAGACCGCTCAGACCGCTGGGGCACCGCGGCCACCGCTGAGGATGGCGTCGCGGCCGGGTGGGAGAGGATGTCGATCGTGAGGAATTTCTGGTGGAGTTAGCTGGTTGTTCGATGAGTAAAGGCTGGGCGGGGGCTCACTTTGTCCATTGGAGAAACTTGGGCCGGAGGGTTGGGTGTTGAGAGTGTGGTATGTGAATGTGTATGTGTATGGGCTATCAGTGGGCCTGAGGAGTAATTGTTGCGAGTGGAGTAGGTATGTGTATATGTATGGGATATAAGTTGAACTGGAAGGTCGAATTGGCTTCTGTCGTGCTATGGTCTCCGCAAAACCAGGAGGAAACGGTAATGACAAGATCTTATACTGTTGAGAAACCCGAGATCTGAATCCCCCTTCCCCCCCTCCTCCTCCCGACTTGAAAGAAGACTGGAAAAGCACATCTCTGGAGGTGAATCATGAGGGCTGATGGGCGTGAATTTGCCCAGCCAGCCAGCCAGTAGTATTATTCTTTTCTCTCTCCTGCCAAAGCCACGACGACTATGTAAGTATGTACATACTATCATGCCCCGAGTAGTCTCCGAATCCCAACTGCGGTTACGGGATGCCCCCCTCCAAGTGAGTACAGAACTCGTTTCAGGCGAGCAAGGCAAGGCAAGGCAACATCTGCCACCCGCCGATAGAGAGAGGTATCCCCTCTCTCTGGCGCTTTATCACTTATCACCGCGTCATAGGCCTTCTAGTCAAGCGCTGGTAGAGTTGGCTTGTGATCATCGATACTCCATATCTGAGCGAGAGACACACACACGACCTGCCAGGTTCGGGTTCTGGCTCTGGTTCTGGGCCAGGGATTTCTTCAGAAGCACACCGATGTGTGCATACACGATCCGGAACCCGTTGTGTATGTACAGGCCCCAGGCCAACGGACTCCCGCTCCCCCCTCCGCATCTATGCACGGATGCATTGCTCTTAGGAGATTTATGTATTAGGTTGGGTTTGGTGGGGTGCGGTGGTAGTGGGGGAGGAGGGGGGTATCAGTACTCTAACGTGTGTTGGGCCAAAAAGCACTATGTATGCTCCACATAACGACCATCCAGGGTAGAAAAACTTCCGTTTCATTGGTACCTGCGCTGCACCTCTACTAGGTTAAGTTATGCATGAATTTTTGCCGAGGAAGAAACGCCTGCCTGCGTGCTGCAGATGCGATTGGCGGCCGGGGCCCGGTATATACGTTGTCGCTCGGTCGATCAGTCAGTCGGTGGGTCGGTCGGTCACGATAAGTTACTTACTGGTAGTTATTGCTGCCTTCGGCTATGTACAACTCAAGAGTCTACATTTAACTATATACCGTATTCGAAGCGTAACCGGGATAGTTTGGCCAGGCACGGAGTGTGCTCGGATGGCGCTATCCGATGGGTGCGGGCATGATTGGTTCGCCAGCCGAACGGGTGCGTGAATGTACGCAATCATTGTGCTCCTAGCCTCACGCTTGTGGTCTGAGGAGGTTGTTGAAGGAGAAGTGGAGGAAGTGGCTTGCGAAAGAGAAGAACATGTTTCTCTCTCTATCCACCGGACGAACGATTCATCGTTGCGGAAATCGCTGGAGAAAAAAAGAGCTTTGGAAAATGCAACGAAAGGGCATGTGAAACCCGATATGATCATGAACTAGGTAAATATAAACACATAGAAAAGCAAAGCAAAACATAACACCTCCAAGACCAGCTTTAAAACCCCACAACCCGCAAATGCAACACGAATCAAATATCAAAACAATAAGCCGAACTCCGTCTCACCCCCATATAACCTCCACCGAGCATTGTCCGCACCGAGCGTGCCCGCAATCGATACAAGCCGCGACTGTAGCGTACAACCAAGGGCCGGCATAATGGGGCGACAGGCCGTGCGGATTGTGACAGTACCAGTAGTTCTCTGGGGTCACTCGGTTGTTTTGGGATAGTTGAGATAGGTGGGATACGGATGCGGTGCAATCGATAGCGCAGTGGGTATTGGTGATGTGGTAGTGCTCCTCGGCCGCCGTGATGTCTTTAGTAGCTTCAAGGTGCTGGGGGGACTGAAATAATGGGTCAGTTTGGATTCTTCGGCCAGTCTTGAGGGTGGTTTCTCTGGATGCAGTCTTTACCTTCTTGGTCTCGGGCGTGCCGTAGTGGGACGTCATTCTTGAGATGTAGAGATGTAGAGATGTAGAAATGTGGAGATGCTGAGTGGAGTGGTGCGAAGACTGGTGGGATTGGTAGAGGCGTCTTCCGAGCTCTGGTATATCGGCAGGGACTATGGGTCTCTGCTGCGAGTGAAGACTCGAGATGGCTTGATGAAGTTCGAATCAGTGAATACGGCCCCCTCCGAACTTATATACATCAGGACGTCGTCCTTCTCAGGAGCATACGGAGCAGACGTTTCTGACGGCCTGGAGATCATCCAGCGCCTTCTAGCAGCACAAAATCCCCCCAAGCGGGCATTCACATCCAATGCCCACGAAACAAAAAGCGGGCATCCAATGTAAAGGCACACTGGGTTCTTCCCGCGCGCGGGGGGTTCGATACTATGTACATACATACGTATGGATGGGAGTCATTCCGGATTCCACACTTGCTGCGGACCTTTGTGCGCCCCGTAGCCCACTGGATGGGCTGGGGGTGCTCAGTGAGTAATGTAGGATTCAGGGCCTGCGGGCAGACGCTCTTTGCGCCCTTCCTCCCTCCCCTTACTCGACCCTGCCTGATATCACCCCAGACAGCCAATAGGCGAGAGCGAGCTCAGCGAACGACTGGTCCCCTCGCCCAGTCCAAATCCCTTCCCATAGCGTTGAGTCCGCACATTATTGTGCTATTGTTGTTGTTGAGGGGAAAAGGGACGTACTACTATAGACAACGGTTGCATATGAAGCCTCCATTGGGGGGACCGGTTTTCGGTGATCCGTCGTAATCATTAAACATGCGAGCAGGTTCGCAGCGTGCGCCCGTTCATCCGTCTCCTTCTCCCCCAGTCCCTCCCCCGTCCCGCCTCTTAAGTCAGAGGCACAGAAGTCTGCAGCCCCACTAAGCGCGTTGCAGCTCTAGATCGAGTGTCAACCACGGTTTTATCCGAGCGCCTGGCATGCATCATGATTTCACTTCACTTCGGTAGAGCATGATGTAGGGTTCGCACGTGAAACCCCTTTCCCCTCCCCGCAACCCTAAAAGCACTCCCAACTTTTTTTTCCTTTCTTTTTCTAATGATCACGAAGAGAGTTGATCGTCGCTGCGTTCCGGGGGCTCAGTTGGTTTCGCTGAGCCGACGTAGGTTGGCAACCCACCATTGCGGGTAGTCTAGCCGGCTTTGGACATGTGTTTGTAGGTTTTGTATGCACGCACAAATTAGCACCTTGAAGGCTTAACTGGCTTCACGTGTGAAGGGCGAGGGAAGGCGACGCCCCTAAAACAATGGGAGTCAAGGTGACGTCTCTGCAGTGTTCTCCGTGTAGATGCGCATACATTCCAAAGATACTCTGCTTACATCCCAAGTACTTGGTTCCTCGGGTCTGCGTATGATAATTTGGAATATCACGGGGCATCAGGGTTAACTATAGCATAATAGTCAATAGTGCTTTTCGCATAACATCACTCTATTCTCCTACTCACAACTCTGGTCGGGGTGCAGCCTTACGGCTATTCCGACGTCGGTTGAGGAATCCATCCAGTGGGGCACTTATGAATCATGATAACTATACGGCACACGCCGCGCTCGACCCCAATCCGGCAGAGGCACAGTTCGTTTTGAAACGGCCTTCTCCACTGAACAGCCCATTTCATACGGCGGAGGTCGTATGTACGCATGGTATACGTCTGTACGGGAAGACGGGTAGACTCCTGGAGATCTCAAAGCACTGCACCCTCCACCAACCACGGTTGCCTGGGCTATGGAGTTCGGTCCGTTCATCTACCACGCGATTCGATTCCGTAGCGACTGCCTGCACCTCCCCTTCCCCTCGCCATCTCCGCATGACGGCAATGATCACGAGTACAAATTGGGGAAGGCTATGTAGGTATCCGGGGGGTCGGAACCACGGACATTGCGGGTGGTTGGGCTGGAGCGTTCCATCGAGTATGGCATCCAATTGCTCAGTTCGGCACAACGAGATAAGGAACTTTCGGTTTCCGTTCATGACTGAGCCAGAATTTCTATCGGATCACCTCCGCACGTTCTCTAGCATCATCACGACTTTGGTGCGACTAGGTAGAAGTTCGCGGAGAATTGACCTTGTTCTTAGCTATGGATGTACCTACTAGTAGAAGCACAGAGCCCGAGGGCAGGAGAACAGGATGAAACGCCTTTGCTGTTACTAATACTTTCCACTGCGGTTGGAGAACCAGCACCTCGGGCCGTACTAGTACGCATATTCATACCACAAATAACTTCCTTCGCTACCCTCATAAGACAATTGACAACTTCTACGAGGAATTACTGATCAGCACCTCCACCGTTCTCCCTGCCATAACCCCCTCTCGTCTCGATTGGTCCAATCCGGTAACTACAATAATGAACAACGCACAGTGTGGCTCAGTCGCTGCGCACCGGTTATTACCCTAACCCTGAAAACCAACGTCTTACAGAATCGTCAAATGCAAACGGCCTGTCTTGTTTCTTTATTTTGCCCCAAAGAAAGTCCGGTCTCTTGGGGAGAGCGCATCGCAACATCTGTCTCACAAGTAATCTCCTCCTGCCTTACTACGAAAAGTAGGCACTAGTTAGTCAAGTCCTACATACTTCGCTGGCAGTGAATATACCCTCCCCCGCCTCCATTTGGCTGGCTCAACGGTTGTGTGATGGTTACTCACCGGCGCGGAACAACAGATCATTGCATATTCTATGTGCGCATTGCCCGTCCGCCCGCCCGGCCGTCCGGAGGCTTGCCTTTCAGCTTCGAGAACACGAGTTTGCCAGGGCAGCGAAGGGGGGAGGAGGAGGCTAGTTACCAGCCACGATCAACAAGGCTACCGGACCAGCACTGTTGTGTTGTCATCCGTGGCGCAATTATACCTGACAAAAGACGTTGGAACCGTTGAACCTACCTAACGTACCTACGCGGCGAGAACCGACACAGCTGAAGTTCCGCGCAGTGCGCACCCAAATCTATTATCTCATTCCCTTTGGTTTGGTTGGGACCGTTAAGGATCGCTCATGGATGATCAGTCAGTCAAGGCTACCGTAGTATGTACATAGTAGCCCTAAGGCGAAGGGAGGGGAAGAGGGATCGCTCCGGTTGGAGAAGCTCATTTGGGGGAATGACCCCTTCATCTTCCTGTACTTTGTCACTCTGTTTGAGTGGGACGTGGCTGTCAGCGGTGACGAGCTGTCGAGCCGGCTTTCATTAGCTGTTACAAAGGCTTTCGCTCCTTAAGAAGACCTGAAGCCCCCCCTCGGATATGGCTACCTCCAAACGTTACGGAGGAATCTCCAACTACCTCCAGGAGTGGCGGTCTCCGGTACTACTGTTATCAGTGACTGATATTCTTCGACGGGGATCCTAAGAAGCTCGATTGGTTCTGGCCTACCATCACGGCTACCAAACTATTAGTCGACACGAGACGATCGGAACAATCTCCGAGAGCGCACATAAAACGGGCACATCGAAGCCCTTTCGGTGGACGATTCCAGTCTTCCATGCACCTACATACAGAATATCCCTCACCGTCCTTGAGACTCGAGAGCCCATAGTGTCGGGCAGGGCTGTCAACCGTCCGTCCCGTCCGTCTTTGAGATTGCCCGGCCCGGGACGAAATTAGTCGGGCTGAGGAGACGAAGGACTACAGTCTTCCGGGCTGGAGAAATGAGGACGGATACCCTACAGGGCCTGGAGAGTAGTCGGACACTAAGAAATTCCTTGGCAGCGGCCGGAGAAAAGGTTTTTACCCGTATCCCCCAAGCCTAGCCGAATCCCATTTTCCTCCCACCGGCAAACCCAGCCAAATCCCATTCTCACACCGACAAGTAAACCCACCACCGAAAATCCAGCACGCCGAAAAGTTCTGCTCGGCGAAAAATTCTGCTCGGTTGCCGGTGGCCGCCGGGCCATTACTTTGTAAACTAGCAGTCAGCATTGTACGCTAATGTTATCAGGTACCTATAGGTACCTGGCGGGTATCCGGGCATTTCATCCTCCGGACGGAATGGATCAGTCCTCTGGAAAGCCTGTCCGGGACGGGACGGGACTACAGTCCACTAGTGGACTGTAGTCCGGACGGACGGTTGACAACCCTGGTGTCGGGCCCAGCCGGGCATACAAAAAGTTCCCTCTCCCTTCAGCACCCTTTCCACAAAGCCCATCTCCTCTCTTAGACGGCCGCACTATAGGCAATCACCTCCGTCTTCAACCTACCCCGATAATAGTGAAGGCAATCGCTAGTCTGGACTGCTGACTCGCAGTCAAGACGGACGTGGACGATTAGTGTGAGCAGACTATTTACCTCTACCTTTGCCGAAGCGTCGTTACGGTGACTACTCCCTTCCTCTCCTCCCCTCGACGAACGTTGACCATTACCACTGGCATCTCAAGATCGTTAACTGCCCACTCAGTACATACAAACCACAGCAAAGCCGTCCTCAATCACATCCAGTATCGATACCTCGGCGTCCCTATCCGGCCGTAACACCCCACTCCCGCCCCGACTACCACGCTGACGCATCGAGTATGCACCAATCCACACCTCCGCACCTCCATACCTACTTCACATGTCTACTGTCTACCTCTCCAATCCAATTCAATCCAATCCGATCCGATCCAACACCAAACCTAGGTAGGTACCTAGGTAGGTCTGAAAAGTTAAGGCAATCGACCGTCCAGAATTCTGAATACCTACAGACCACAGACCCTGGGTCCGGATTCCGGAAAACAGTGCTTGTGGCCCAGCGAAGCCGGCGGAGGTCGGTTGAAGCTGCGACTGACGGTAGGCACGGATGGTAGTTGCGGTACTACTACGGTACCTACCAGATATGATGCTACGGTTTCGCTATCCGTCCTGCCTCATCCCAGTCTGGGACTGTAGCGGATGTCCGCCAGCACGATGCGGGATGGTTGGCAGCCATCACAGTCATCACAGCCATCACTCGGCTCCATCCTCCATCCTCCATCCTACCTACCTCGAACCACGAACCTCAAAGACTTCTCCGCTTACAACG